TGCCAGTGTTTGCCTTACAAAAATACAGCTCCTCACATTTATCTAAATTAAACTCCATCTGCCACTCCTCGGCCCATTGGTCCATCTGATCAAGGTCCCGTTGTACTCTGAGTTAATCTTCTTCACTGTCCACTACACCACCTATTTTGATGTCATGCGCAAACTTACTAACCATACCTTCTTTATTCACATCCAAATTATTTATATAAATGACAAAAAGCAATGGACCCAACACCGATCTTTGTGGCACACCACTGGTCACAGGCCTCTGGTCCGAAGAACAATCCTCCACCATCACCCTGTCTCCTATCTACAAGCCAATTTTACATCCAATTGACTAGCTCCCCCTGGATCCAATACGATCTAACTTTACCAACCAATCTACCATGTGGAACCTTGTTGACCATTTTGCTGAAGTCAATATAGACGTCTGCCGCTCTGCTTCAGCAATTGTCACCTCTTCAAAAAACTCAATCAAGTTAGTGAGACACAATTTCCTATGCACAAAGCCATGCTGACTATCTGTAATTAGTCCTTGCCTTTCCAAATGCATGTAAATCCTGTCCCTCAGAATCCCCTTCAAAAATTTATCCACCACTCACGCAAGGCTCTATAGTTCCCTGACTTTTCTTCACGGCCTTTCTTAAATAATGGCACCACGTTAGCCAACCTCCAGTCTTCCGTCACCTCACCCACGTCTAATGATGAGAGAAATATCTTAGCAAGGGTCCCAGAAATTTCTTCCCTAGCTTCTCACAAAGTTCTGGAAACACCTGATTGCATCCTGGGGATTTATCTACCTCTCTGCATTTTAAGACCTCCAGCACCTTCTCTTCTGTAATATGAACTCTTTTCAAGACATAAGTATTCATTCGCCCAAGTTCTCCAATTTCCAAGTCCTCCACAGTACATACTGATGCAAAATATTCGTATGGTATTTCACCCATCTCCTGCAGTTCCACACAGACGGTCACACTGATCTTCAAGGGGGCCTATTTTCTCCCTAGTTACTCTTTTGCCCTTAGAAGACTGAAGGAGGTGCATGATTAAGATGTACTAAATTATGACATAGGAAGAAACGTTTTTCCCCTCTGTACCCTTAGTAGAGAAGTCAATAGCCATGGGGTACAATTTTAAGGTAAGGAGCCGGAGTTATAGAAAGGATTTAAGGGGAAAAAATCACCCAGAAGATGGTGGTTATTTGAAATAGGTGAGAAAGGGTGATTGAGGCAAGAATCCTCAAGAAATTTAAGCAATATTCAGATGAGCACCAGAAATATCATTACATGGAAGACTATGGGTGTGGACACAATGCACCAAAGGACCTCTTTCCATGCTGTAAAACTCTACGACATTTGCATTTATCTGCTAGAGGCTTGAGAGTATACATTCAATTCTCTCTCAACCTGCCGTGAACCCAGTCTGGCAGCCACATCCCTCCAGACTTCGTTAGCTAGGTCAGTTGTGGGGCCACTGGGAAACGCAGAAGGGGTGAATAGACATCCAGTTGGATATTTTATTACAGCTGGTCTCTGAACATAAAAATAGATATCTGAGATTAGAACAGACATGCAGTTGAGAAGAATAGAGAAGGCATCTTTCACAATGAGCAGTGCATCTATTTAAAAGGATAAAAAGAAACTCAAAACATGTAGAGCAGGGATTGAGGATTGGACAAGAGTACTACTGCTTTGGTTTCAGTTGTGCCAAAGCCAACCAGACAATTTAAAGGGGAAAAGAAGTCCCTGGGTATCTGTGCCATCAAACTGTTGCAAACCTTGCAAAGGAGATTCTGCCCAGGTATGCTGTTTGAACAAAAGGTATATTTCTTTTTATTAATCTACTTTTCTAATCAATCTGTTCAGAGATGCTATTATACCCCTTTGGAGCTGGTGTGACTTGAACCTGGGCCTCCCTGGTCCAGGGCAGGGACACTACCACTGCACTGTAAGACGGCCCTGGGCAACAGGCATATTCAAGAACTTTGGATAGAATACAGCTGTTAGTCTAAGCGATTTAAAGGTTAACTGATCAGTCGGGAAAGTGAGAGAATGTAGATAATCAGGGTTGGGTGAGAGAACTTTGGTACAAATCTCGTGCCCTATGTGCCTGGGATTACACGTGAATGTGGTCTTGTAAAATGCATCTTTGTTATATTGATTTATGTGAAGTGTATCCTTTTATTTGAAGTATTATTAATGTTTGAATTAAGTTAATTTTGTTGGGTTATAGTAGTTTTAAAAATTAAAATCATTCAGTTACTTCCATTGGGTCAATTGGAAAATTCACCTCAAAATTATTGGTCTATACAGGGATCTTAATAGCAAAGTACTAAATACTTACTTTCAACTAATTACAACTGATTGTAGAGAATCTTACCTCACCTAATATAAACATGAATCTTGTGTCTAATCCATGTGTTAATTCTGATTATCAGGTAGACGTGGTGTCTTAATGTCTCCTATCCAGTGACTGAGTAACAACATAACCGAGAAACCTCATCTTATCCTTAGAAGAAATCTATACAAGGGAAATTGCAGAAGAAACAGTCTGATGGCAATTAGGAGTGTTAGTGGTGATCAATCTTCCCCTCCCTTCCCAATACTCTTAAGGCCAATTAAAGCAATAATGTATGGCAACTAACTCAATAGCAGGGGATTGAATGTGGGACTTCTTATTCACTGTTTATACTGTCATGTGTCAGTGCTTATAGACTTAAGGATAACTGCTCTTGCCTTTGAAGGTTCTAGTACTTACACTTTTTTGTGAGTCCTTCTCTTTAAGGATGCCCTAAATACAACTTCTATTCAGTGCAACCTTTAAATTGCGAGTGCATTAGTGTATCCTTAAATGACAAAAGATGAGATGATGTAATTATTCTTTACAATTATCTTAATAGAATTACATTGCTTATTGATGTCACTATTCAACAGATCATACTGAATACAAGGTTTCAACATAAACGTCAACTACTTTGGAGAAAAACTCATAGTTCCTACTGCTCTTGTAATTTAAGACATCCATAAGATAAACTCAATTACCTAATCATAACTTTTTAAAAACAAAATCATTTATGGGGTGAAGTCGTCACTGGCTTGGACAGCATTTATTGCCCATTCCTAATTGCCCAGAGGGCAGTTAAGAGTCAAACTTTGGGTCTGGAGTCACATGTAAGCTAGACTAGGTGAGAATGACAGACTCGCTTCCAGATGGGTTTTTCTGACAATCGGCAATGGGTTTCGTGGTCATGATTGGACTCTTCATTCCAGATTTTTAAAAGTTAATTCAGATTCCACTATCTGCGATGATGGGTTTCAAACCCAGATCCCAAGAACATTATCTGGGTCTCTGGATTAACTGTCCTGCAATAATACAACTAGGCCATCCCTTCCCTAAACTGAATGACCAAGAAAACATTCTGAACATAAAACAGCAACTGGGCCATCAAGCCAACTTTGGAGCTCAAGGACAGTTACTCCTTCAGACTTCTCACCTTGCACAATTAGTTACTTATCTCCAAATGCAAACGGAAAAATACCAAGCAGCGTTATTGATAATTCTCATTGTCAAAATGTACTGATCAAGATTTAAGAGACAATTTATTGTTCAAACTGTTGTGGATTGTGCATTCTGGACATACTTTAGAAATTTCCCAAAAATATTCTGCAAAGAAACAATGGAAGTTCTGATGCTCTTGCGGTTCAATATTTTTTCTTATTTTATTTCAATCTAGGCACATGTCTTACTTTTTGTTCTGCACCTACATGACATGCTGCAAAATAAAAACTGAAAGAACTGCAGATGCTGTAAATCAGGAACAAAGACAAAGTTGCTGGAAAAGCTCAGCAGTTCTGAGGAAGGGTCACCGGACCTGAAACGTTAACACGGTTTTTTCTTTCACAGATGATATGCTGCAATATGTTTCACTATTCGTAAGTGAGGAAGCACACTTGCCACTTGTTGGGAAGTGCATAAATTAGAGGCCATCAATATAAAATAGGCATCAAGAAATCAATTAGAAACATCTCTACCCAGAGGATGGGAGATTGTGGAATCTGTTACCATATGGAATAGTTGTGGTGAACTGTGTGGATACTTATAAGGGAGAGGTGGTAGTGCAGTAGTAATTTGACTGGACCAGCAATCCAGAACCCAGACTAATGTTCCACAGGAGATGGTGAAATTTAAATTCAATGAAAAATTTGAATTAAAAGATATCCTGATTGTAAATACTGTTGATTGTTGCAAAACCAAGGAAATCTGCTATCTATACGGTCTGGCCTATATGTGACTCGAGATCCACAACAATGTTGTTGACTTAACTGTTCTCTGGGCAGTCAGGGACTGATAGTAAGTGGGCAGTCATGGACAACTGCAGAATGTGAATTCAGGGTTGTGTTGATAGAAATAGCAGGCTGCAAGGACACTACACTAGAGTGTCACTGCCAGCATGTGGCCTATTTACGTGCTCAAGTATTGAGAAATAATATCAATCAAACAAACTGTGACCCAACGTTACTTCAGTTTTCTGCAATGCTGCGCCATTCACAGAAGCCCTACAGCGTGAAAGCAGACCATTCAGCCCATTGAGTCCATACTAATGCTCTAATGAGCAACCCACCCAGAGCCACTCCCCTATCCTATCCTTGTAACACTGTATTTCCCATGGCTAATCCACTTAGCCTGCACATCACTTGGACACTATGGGCAACTTAGCATGGCCAATCCACCTAAACTGCATGTTTGGACTGTGGGAGGAAACCGGAGCACCTGGAGGAAATGCACACAGACACGGGGTAAACGTGCAAACTCCACACAGACAGTTCTCCAAGGGTGGAACTGAACTCGGATCCCTGGTGCTGTGAGGTAGAAAGCTAACCACTGTGCTGCCGTTAGATTTCAAAGCTGGAGAAAACTGAATTGTAAAGAGAAAGCTTGTTCGTATCAAATGCTCTTTTATACTTCTGAAACACATTTAAGAGAACCATAATCAACAGCAATTATAATACACAATTGTTGTGTGGACAACAAATTTATTGACATTTAGGTCCCATTTTAAACTCCAAAGTAACTCCAAAAAATCACTGATTTATAGAGAAACATTTTATGGTTATCATAGTTAGAATATTAAAAGGCAGAGTTCTGAAGTAGGGGGTCCAAGTTAAATTCCGGTTTATACAGGGAGTAATTCTGTCAGCTTTGGCTAAGTATCTTGGAAAACGACAGAGTGACACGGAAAACTTATGCAAGTGCTATCTCTTCCTTGGTAACCAAAGTATGCTGAGTAGCAAGGAGACATGATTGTTCCAACCATTGCTGGCTTAGATGGAGGAAAATCAAATCAAAATTTAAAATTTTATTTGCCTGGGCAGTGGAAACCTGTGGATGATAACGCATAGTACGGCCACAGAAGTCTGTAGAATAGTCAGGAGCTTCTCTCTTTGCTTTTCCAAACATCTTTATGCAAGAAAAGATGATTCAGTATTTTCAACACATGAATTAACAGCGAGAAAAAAATCCACAGGATTTGGACACAAAATATAGAAGCAAAATATAAATAAAGGACAGACACAACTGATATTACCAGTTAATTGTTGGTACATCATTAGCAATCTAATTCCACATAAAACACACAGTTTTAAAAATAAGTACAAGTCTCGTTCAAATGTTTGGAGTTATCTATCTATTTTGACACCTCTATTCTAAACTTAATGCAATCTTTGCATAACCAAAATGTACATAAAGGGAATTATAAATCTAATATTTATTGCTAAAATGTAAACATCAGGATAATGCCTGTTGGCCCATTTAATATAAATTCAGAATATATTTTTTACACAATACATTTAATGCTAAAGTTGTCCTTTTTACTGCTATCAGATCTTTGAATTTCTGTTAACAAATCCACATCAGAAAGAAAAACGAGATATATCAATATAATGCATATAATTCTGCACAGGTTTTCTTAAAATAAATATATTTTATATAAAACCGTTAGTACATTGAAGTGTTGTTGCTTTTCTGGAGCTCCCAGGAAGATGTATTTCAGGGTTTTGGTCACATAATGTAAGTACCATCTTTTAAAAGTTTTACAGTTTCCATTTGCTGTGTCATAGCAAGGATTTCTTGGAAACCTGTACTCAGACCCGACATATGCTGGAAGTAGGACTCCTTCTCCACCTGAACCGACAAGTTATTTACACCAACATCTTTTAAAGCAGCTATCACCTGGTTATATTATAAACAAAGAAGTGGTTATAATCCATTAATGCATACTTTAATATTCTTTTCAAAGCTCTTGCTATACAATTTTCACTTACAGTGAGCATAAAAATCAAAAAATAATACTTATATTTTATGACAATTCTATTACTACATAAAATACCTGAGTGGGAGGTGGGGAGGACAGTCAATGAGAGGTTTGGGATGGAGGGAGTGTTGGAAATGAGAAGAGGGAAAGGAAGGAATATGCTAAGGGGAAGAGGAATTTCCTTGTAGAGAGTGGTGGGGTGGGGAGAAAAGACTTGGACAGAAAAGACTCAAGATGGGTGAGAGGAAAGGAAGGGAAGTAGAAGTAGTGAGTGACGTGGATGAGGATAGACATGCATTTTTATGGATCTATTCAAGTTCCAATTCCAGGGAAGTTGCCCCACATTGTAGCTGGCATGGTTGACTTGGTTCTAGAAGTGTCTAGCTTTAGTTAATAATACTAGTCACATTTTGGGAAGTGGATTTCTGTTAATTGCTTATAGAGATAACTTCACCCTTGTGCTGGGTACACTGAACCTGGTGATGTTTGTGTTGTACATGTTCAGAATGTATCCATCTGAGGACAGATCATCATTCACTGGATTTCCTTCCAAGTCTTTTGCAACCATTGATACGGCTCCAAGAGAGCCTGCTGCACACGTTTCCAACTCAGAATACAATTACATGTAATTTCTCTTACCTTGCAAAAGTTTACTTGGAACTGTAACAAGAACTTCAATGTGACATTGTATCCTGCGACTAATATGTAACAAAATTCGAAATGGATTTCACAAAATGCTTTTGTAAAAACTGGATAATTTTTAAAAGGAATGCTTTATGCTGAAAGTGCTGAATGCATGTTTGTACTCGTACAGTTCACAAGTTTTTGACAGTATTTGTTTTTGGGACCAATCAAATAGACTGCAGTGTAATTTAAAAAAGTCTCCCACTTTCTCATGCTCCTATTCATTCTAGATATTGATACAATATGGGACATTAATTCTACAGCAAGCTCCAAGTTATTGAATGTCATTAGGTAAAGTTGAATTTACTGTAGGTCTGTGAAAGAACTAGCAAATGTGAATAGTTAATACAAGCTTCATATTAAAAGTTTTCTTAAAAAACATGAGATAAACTATACAGCACATACAACTAAGCAGCACTATACCTGCTGTACAATTCTCTGCTCCACAACATCTGGCATGACCTGCACATGCAGGGTTCCTGCTATTACACTGGCTGAGTGGCGCCAGAAATGAGGATCTCGATAAGATAGAACACCTTCAATTTTCTGGATCTGAAACAATTTATAGAATTCAGAAAAACAAACTATTATTTCTTTACAATGCAACGGGAGACTTCCAAATGTTAAAAACTTCACTTTTTGGAGAATGATATTACAGAAATTGACAAAGGAGGAAACAATTTGAACTATCTTATCGGAAAGACTTCAGTGGCATAATTTCGAACTGATCACATTTCCTCCTCTACTTCAAACCTTTAACTATCAATATCTTTCTTAAATGTTGAACTGCTTTTTGCCTCAATTATCCCCACTGTAAAACAAAATTAACAACTTTCTACACATTAAGCTGCCTTGTCTACAGTATGTTTTGTGTTTTTTTAAAAACTCACTACCTTACTCTATCAACTACTTGCACTTATTTAGTGCTTTTATCATAGATAAACTCAAAAGCACTGCACATTGGTGTAATTAAAAAATTATGTTGAACCAAGGGACATGTAACGCAAATCAATTTGTGAAAATATGAAACAATAAATAAGTCTGATAAGACTGCCTACTGTAAAATCTATATATCACTAGATCAAGACAGATTTAGAAATTTTGCTCAATATTACCTGAGGTCATAACTTTAAGCAATATTGAATGTTACATCAGCAAGTTTGACTTTTTAAATGGAAATGTAAAATTTTTTTGTAATTGAATATTCAGAAGTAAATAGATTCTGACCTTATTTAGGGCACTAATGAGTTGCTTCTCAAGTTCTGGTGGCGTCCGTAGCAGCAATAATTGACAAGCATCTTTCATAAGTGGAATAACACTTAGAAATATTAATATAGCAATGAAAAGAGAGCAAATAGGATCAGCAATTAGCCATCCAAACTGACGAATTAGAAGAGATGAGATGATCACTCCAACACTGCCGAGCGTATCTGCCAGCACGTGCAGAAATACTCCTGCAACACAAAATGTACTTTTACAAAGGAATGGCAGCAATGGAAAATACCACTGAAGTCTATTTTGACAGTCCACTCTCTGGAAAATAGATCACAAAATATGTGTCTTTCTCTCTATAACATTTGTTTTGTTATTTAATGGCTTTAAATTATTTGATTCAAATAGTCCCTTTGTTGTCACTGGCAGACGAACATACATATGTTCCCAAAAAATTAAAACTGCATCAATTAAATCTCTCCTTTTCACTCTTCCAAGTTTATGTTTATGCCCTTTTGATGTAGACTGTTAGATGCATTGAAGCTGAGAATATACAGTGTTAAACAAAAGCCTTGCATCTTCCAGGACTTTAGGATGTCTCAAAGCAGCTTTACAGCCAAAGATGCAATCTGAATCGTGGTTGATTTGCAAATTGCAAAGTCCCAGAAACAGTAACATGAAAAAGACCATATAATCCACTTGAATGAAGTTTGTTGACGAATAAATACGGGCTAGAACATAGGGAGAACTTCTCTGCTCTTCTTTGAAATAGTATGATAGAATCATTTATGGTCACCTGAGTGGGCAGGCAAGACCTTGGATTAAAGTTTCATCCAAAAGCTAATACTTGCTGTACTGGAGTGTCAGTCTAGATTTTGCCCTGAAAGTCTCTGGCATCTGATTTGAATCCACAATTTCGAATTAGAGATGAGCTTGCTACCAGCTGATACCTTAAAAGTTCAATGCTCAGAGACATCATTAGCTGTACTGAAATGATGGAAGCCAACATGTAAACAAAAAGTCACTCAGTTCCCAAAGCTTAGTGGATTAAACAACAAGCCACTTCAATTACATTTAAGTACTTATGAAGCAATAACTGCTATATAGACAAAAAAAAAACAAAACACTTTACAGAAGTGATAAATATCACATTTTTATATTCTGGTAATTTCTGCACTTTCTTTGAGAGTCAAGCTCAGTCTTAAAGGGATTTATAGGTTTATATCTGACTCATTTCCAAAGGGAGTGGCAACTCCGCCTCCCATGGCTTCTAATTAACCCTCCTTATATGCCCTCAGTATCAGATTATTGACCCATAGACGCATAACTAGATCTCCATTGTAGAAAAACTCAAAGAATATTATATTGGACATACAGTGGCAGAAATGCAATGTCTTATGTGCATAGCAGTGAGAGAAGTTGAAAATATTTCAAATTCAATTTAAAGCACACAAAAGAAGTCTAACAGACAACCTGTCCCTCATTTAACATGAAATACTTGGTACTTGACTCATAATGAATAAAAATTTGGAAGTGGAATTGTGGCTAGGTGGCTCTTTGAGAAAAACACTAGCTGATGTCCAGTTACGTCGCACAAATCTATGATTCGTGAATATTAGTTTAACATGACTGCTCATACAGACTAAACTTTATAGACATAAGCTACTGCCTTTGAGTACATTTTAATGATAATTTAAAAATGCTTGCGTCTAAATTATTTTTACTTTCTGCTTAATTTAACTGCACACTACAACTATTTGCATGCTTTACCTCGCATGTTAGCATTCATTCCACCACCTGAAGATCCATGGGAGTGACCATGGTTGTGGCTATGGCTATGGCCATGTCCTCCTCCATGTCCATGATCGCCATGAGAATGCCCATGTCCGTGACTGTGGCCATGCTCATGTGAAGAACAACTGCTTCGAGAACCACCATGGGAATGGGCGTGGCTAAAGGCACAGATACCAATCAGGTTCACTATCAGACCCCCAATGGAAACAGGCTGTTCAACAGTAAGGAAGATATAAGGGAATAAATACATCCTTTGCAATATTGTTTTAATTTACAATGAAAACATCAACTTCTGCAATAAATATATTTTACACAAACTTCTTATATCGTTATACAGCATTCATGGTGCACAATTAAATAACACCGTATTCAAAAATTAAACCTTTATTGCTAAAGTAAAGTTACAAAATTAATGCCCTTAAACACTGCCAAATACACACGTGCAGATAATAGAGAAACACTCACTGTTAACATTTCTGTATCGATGTCTGGAGGATCAAAGACTCTAGCCACAGACTCAACAAAAACAAAAAATGCTATAACCATTAGAAAAAGTCCATTAATAAATCCAGACAGAATTTCAAGACGTCCATATCTGTAGGCGGGAAGGGAAAAAGTCATTATTCAATTTATTTGAGAAATTACCAGCAAGATCAAAAAGTACTGTAATTACAACATCAGAATCAAATACATTATTTTACACAGCAACATCATGCCAGATAACAACTTATAACCCTATGTGTGAAATTGCAATTTGTAAGCAGCCTATTGAAAGTGTGTACAGGAAGGTCATCACACTAATGCAGGAACTTCTTTTATTGAAACCTTATTTTACTACACTACCAATAAGTTGACAACTGTCTGCTGTATGTAGGAACTTACCATCTGTATTTAAGAACATAAGAACTAGGAGCAGGAGTAGGCAATTCAGCCCCTCGAGCCTATTCCACCATTGAAATCAATTGTGGCTGATCTCATCTCATTGTCAACTCCACTTTCTCACTGTTCCCTATACTGTTCAACCCATTATTAAAAATATGTCTCGCTGCAGAATTTTGAGATCTCAAAGGTGTCAATTTATTCAAATCCTCTTTCAATTCTGAAGACAGTACCGACTTTTCTACTTTGAGCACGTGTGTAAGTTGAAGGGAAAGACAAAAATCAACATTAGGAAAACTAACCCATAAGAGTAAATTCGAGTTGCCTTCCATCTGGTCATTAGGGCTGCAAAGAGGCCCAAGACTAGTGCTGAGCAGTCAAACAGCATGTGGAAACCATCAGAGATAAGGCCAAGACTGTTGGTCCACACACCATAGAACAATTCCACAAATGTAAAGGCCTAAAACAAAAAGAAAATGACTACTCAATGAATCAATTTGTTGTTTAGATCCAGCTTAATATGTAAGAGAATTGCTCATTCTACGCATTGTAGTTATTATTTCCTCACAAATGAATGAACTAACTTCTGAAAAGTATGGAGTAACAGCAACACTACAGATGCAAATGGGCAAATATGTCACAAAATATGCCTGTTTATATCCAGGTACAACTGCCAGGTCTTCCTTCCACATCACAAAATGCTGATTTCTTTAACATCATTTCCATTAGGCACTCTTCTTGTAGCCCTGTGGCAGCTGTTGTGCTGCAACCCTCAGACTTTTTCTCGTCACCTATGTACTCAATTATTTTAGTACCATCCTTGTTCAATGTTCCTTGCAGTGTTCTTAGCCAAACCAAGTTCCATTCGGCCATTATCCCCTGTTGTTGCTGAACTTCAATGGCTCCTGGTGCCTAAACACCTAAAATTTAAAAGGACCATTCTTATATTTAACTTACTTAATGATCTCTACTCAATCTCCTTCAACTGTACTTCACACCTGGTCAAAATTTTCTTGTTTTCCTATTGGCCCTTTCATCTCTGGTTTAGGGTGACTTTAGGAATCATGTCCATAAGATGCTTTGCTTTCAATCATCCTCTCCCTGCTCAACTCTTGTTTACACCCAGATCTTTGACCAAGTTAAGGTTCACTTCTTCTAATCTCCACGTTTATTTAGCCTTTTTATGTAGTGCCACGGATTTTAAAAAAAAATTAAAGGGTTTAAATAAATGTCAATGCTCTTGACTTTGTTCACCCTTCCAAATAAATCACAAGATCTCAAAGGCTTATCTCAATAAGAGATTGCCTGGAGATCAGTTGAAGCAGCCATTTTTTAAAATATAAAAAGGCAATATTGAGGAGCCTAGATGGAAAACTAATCTTGTGCATTACCCGCATGGGCCCAAGCTATGCCTGCCTCTTTGCAGGTTACGTGGAACAATCCCTCTTCCGTACCTACACTGGCCCTAAACCCCACCTCTTCCTCCGTTACATTGATGACTGTATTGGCGCCGCCTCGTGCTCCCACGAGGAGCTCGAACAGTTCATCCACTTCACCAACACCTTCCACCCCAACCTTAAGTTTACCTGGACCATCTCTAATACTTCTCTTCCCTTCCTGGACCTCTCTGTCTCCATCTCAGGCAACCACCTAGAAACCGATATTCATTTCAAGCCCACCGACTCCCACAGCTACCTAGAATACTCCTCCTCCCACCCACCTTCCTGCAAAAATGCTATCCCCTATTCCCAATTCCTCCGCCGCATCTGCTCCCAGGATGAGGCATTCCACTTCCGTACATCTCAGTTGTCCTCGTTTTTCAAGGACCGTAACTTCCCCTCCTCAGTGGTCGAGAATGCCCTCAACCGTGTCTCCCACATCTCCCGCAACTCATCCCTCACACCCCGTCCACGCAATAAGAACCAAAAAAGAATCCCCCTCGTCCTCACGTACCACCCCACCAACCTCCGGATCCAACGCATCATCCTCCGACACTTCTGCCATCTGCAATCCGACCCCAACACCAAAGACATCTTTCCCTCCCCACCCTTATCTGCTTTCCGGAGGGACAACTCTCTCCATTACTCCCTTGTCCGCTCCACACTCCCCTCCAGCTCCACCACACCCGGCACTTTTCCCTGCAACCGCAGGAAGTGCTACACCTGCCCCCATACCTCCTCCCTCACCCCCATCCCAGGCCCCAAGAAGACTTTCCACATCAAGCAGATGTTCACCTGCACATCTGCCAATGTGGTATACTGCATCCGCTGTACCCGGTGTGGCCTCCGCTACATCGGGGAAACCAAGCAGAGACTCGGGGACCACTTTTCAGAACACCTACGCTCGGTTCGCAATAAACAACTGCACCTCCCAGTCGCGAACCATTTCAACTCCCCCTCCCATTCCTCAGACGACATGTCCATCCTGGGCCTCCTGAAGTCCCACAACGATGCCACCCGAAGGTTGCAGGAACAGCAACTCATATTCTGCTTGGGAACCCTGCAGCCCAATGGTATCAATGTGGATTTCACAAGCTTCAAAATCTCCCCTCCCCCTACCGCATCCCAAAACCAGTCCAGCTCGTCCCCGCCTCCCTAACCTGTTCTTCCTCCCACCTATCCACTCCTCCCACCTCAAGCCGCACCTCCATCTCCTACCGACCAACCTCATCCCGCCCCCTTGACCTGTCCGTCCTCCCTGGACTGACCTATCCCCTTCCTAACTCCCTACCTACACTCACCTTTACTGGCTCCATCCCCGCCTCTTCGACCTGTTTGTTTCCTCTCCACCTATCCTCTCCTCTATCCCTCTTCTATCCGCCTCCCACTCTCTCCCTATTTATTTCAAAACCCCCTTCCCCTCCCCCTTTTCTGATGAAGGGTCTAGGCCCGAAACGTCAGCCTCTCTGCTCCTATGATGCTGCTTGGCCTGCTGTGTTCATCCAGCCCTGCACCTTGTTGTCTCAATGCTTATATAGATTTGTTTCTGCAGTCTTATAGTTTCCTTTCCAAAAAGGGCTAATTCTGGCTAAGAAATGGCACAATGTATACTGGCAATACTTCAGCAACTCAAAAATTTGACTAAATTGAATTTTGTGAGGAAAGTTACTTTATACAGCTGGTTCAAGTCCTCAGTGAAGAAATCAAATGATGAAATTTGTATGAACTTAAGTACCTGCAATGTAAGAATTGTGCTTTGGTTTATAATTTTTATTGTTTTTCTGTATCCTGTCCAATGTTATCTGCTAAATTTGTCTACTTAACTATATGATTTTACAGGTTTCCATGTTTGATGTTCCAAACGTGATTAGTCAATATATTAATTTTCCAATACAAACAATCTGCAATTTATCCTTTGCATTATTAAAAACCATTAGTATTATTCATTAACACTTTTAAAATGTTTCAAATAGTTTACCTACACTATTCTTTGTCAGTATGGTTGTCTACTACACTTTCATCCAGCCCTGTTCTCAGCCCCTCAAAATTAGTATTTATCCAATCTATCAACCCGATTCTGTAATTTTGACATCCTTCTCTATAATCATCTTAAACTGTATTATATGGCCTAGGTGTTGCCCTACTTGTACCTCTCATCTGTTCGGTTCATTCTCCATTACTAGATCCAACTGTAAATCTTCCTCTTCTTAAACTCCTAACACATTTGTTAGATAGGACACTGTACACATTGTAGCAACTTCACTTCCTTATTTCCTTTTCCTACATCTTCTGCTCAATTAAGTTTGGGGAGTTCAAATCCCCAGTGATTATTATTCTATATTTATCACTCAATTCTCCAACTTGTCTGTATACTTCTTCCTGAACTGCCTTTCATTACTATGTGGTTTGTGGACTACACCAATTATTGAACTGAACCTGTATTGTTTTTATCTCTATACACATGGATTCTATTTTTTTTTCATGCTGATACTGAGCTCCTTTCTTCTACTGCCAATATCCCTAATAATTAGTCAGTCCATCTCCGTTATCCCCGATCTTTTCAAAATATGCCATAAATGTTTAATTCCTAGTCCTGATTTTTACGTAACCACGTCCCAGTAATTTCTACAATTTATGTTGCGCCCAAGGCATAGTGCTTACAGCTCCTCTATGTGCACTAAATGTATTGCTGTACAAACAGTTTAACTCATTTCTCATAGAATTTCCTCTCACTTTACAGTTAACCAACTTCTTAAGCTCCTGTTCTACAACTCTACTTAGTCCCTTGCCAATGTTTTAGAACCTGCTGCTAAAGGAGCCTTGCTGCAGTATGTTTGTAAATGGTATTTTCTATGGCCAGAATGTGTTGATAGTGGAGGAGTGACTTCAAGCAAGCTCCTTCATTCTGGATGGTATTGACGTTATTGCGTGTCTTGGAGTTGCAATCCTTCAGACAAGTCACACTCCATTAAAATTATTGCATTACACCAAAACTAAATATTGATACATAATTTAAAAAAAGAGTTACCTCAAGGGTCCACAAAGTGTGAGTCCAAAGAACCACAACAGCAAAATAATGCAACCACCAACTGCATGTTTACCGATCTTGACCCACTGCAAAAATATAATCATGTATTTCAGAATGGTGTATTTTGTTTAGCTCAGTCTATACCAAAGTAAATTTTTACTTCTAATGGATTCATGATTACCATATAAATCAATGCAATTGATAATAATTTTTTCAATGGAGAACAGGCAGTATGCCAAACTGCATGAGATCCTTGACAGAAAGTCATGACTGGCTAGTTTCGCAACCAGTGCTTGGCAGGCCAACTTTTTAGAAGGTCAAACAAAAAGGTTTGCTTTAGCTGGAAAGTATTTAAATCTTCTAGGCCAGTAGAATTTTGCTAAAGCTAAATCAAGTTGCTTGTCAAAAATATTTCCACCTGAAACACATTTAGAAAATGATAGGAGTTGAATCAGAACTTAAGGCTTATTTGACAAGTACAGCTTTTCACACAGCAGAGATGGTAAAAAAAAGTGGTAAGATTATTGGGCCAGTAATTATGCCCTAAGCCAAACAAACCCAACTGCTCCAGATTATGAAGTTTTAATAAAATCTGAAACTAAAAGTTAGTGTAATGGTGATGTAAACATAGTCAACTATTGTAAACACCCATCTGGTTTACTAATGTCCCCTTAAGGAATGAAATCTCCCTAATAGTATCTGGAAACTTCTGCCAAAATTTACAGAGCTGTCCCACGGACTAATAAAGTAACCAACTGCAATAGCCACATTCGCAGAATCATGCCTCTATTATTATCGTGAAGCCAGAAGGCGAACCCTGGTTCAAGTGCGACTTGCTCAGCAATAGTCTGTTAATCTGCACTCAGTTCCTGACCTTTCTGCTGCTTCGCTCCAAACACTTGTAAAAAGTTAAACTTCAGAGATGAGGTAAGAATGACCTTAACACCATGGCAGCATTTGACAAAGTATGAAATCAAAGACCCCCAGCAAAACTGGAGTTAATGGGAATAAAGGGAAAATTTTCCACTGGCTAGAGTCATACATAGCGAAAAGGTAACATGGATGTGGTTATTGGAGGTTACTTATCTCAGTTCCAGGATGTCACTGCAAGTGCTCCTCAGAACACAGCCCAGTCGATCATGCAAACCAGCCTGCTATCCATTGACTCCATCTATAGTTCCTGCTGCCTTGGGAAAGCAACCCAACATAATCAAAGACCCCCTCCCACCCTGGTTATTCATTCTTTCACCCTCTTCCATCAGGCAGAAGATATAAAAGTTTGAATACACGTATGAACAGATTCTTCTCCACTGTTATCAGACTTTTGAACAGACCTTTCAAATGTTAATTATATTCTCTTTCTCTGCACCTTCTCTGTGGCTGTAACTACCCTGACGCACTTTGTAATGAATGATCTGCCCATACAGCACATAAAACAAAATGTTTCACTCTTTTTTGGTACATGTAACAACAATAAATCAAAGAATACTGTCCTAGGCCCAATCATCTTCAAATGCTTCATCAATGACCTTCCCTCCATCAGAAGATCAAAAGTGAGGATGTTTGCTGATGATTACTCAATGCTCAACACCATTCATGGCGCAAAAGCAGCATGACCTGGATAACAGGACAAGTCAAGGATGATCAATGGGAGGTAACATTCGCAATACACACGTGTCAGGCAATAACTATCTCAAAAAAAAAGAGAATCTAACCATCAACCCTTGATACCCAGATCACTTGAATTAACGGACTCAACTGATTACAGCAGTTTTTTTGGAAAAGGTTTCTTGCCCATTGAGTGTGAGTTATATAGCTTGCTTATCATATGATCCTCTCCTACTAACCAGCAACTCCAATACGGTAATGGATTGGGTACTCTAGGTGGGTTATTACATCTAATGCCCCCAACCTAGATGATTGTCTGGATCTTGTGTAAACAGGTTCAGGAGATGATCCTATTTATTATCCTTCAACGTAATTATATCAGCTAGGGTTGACTCTGCGAAATGGCTTTGGAATTTATACTGTACAGTGACGCAAATATTCTTAGAAGCACTGGTTTCATGTTACCGGAATGTTGATTCAGTCTTTTTCGAAAAATCTGAAGTGTTTTCCGACCAGTAAAGTAACAATATATGTTTCTCATAAAGCATGGCTTCATAATGTGACTCTGTTGTTAAAAATGTTTTTTACACTTTGCATTCTGAAGTGAATACAGTGTCAAATACAATGTTAAATCTGCTGGGACATGTGGATTGAATCAGACCCATGAGGTTAATGCACAACTCAATAAATAAAATTGATCATAAATTTGTCATAAACCCAATAAACTCTACCTGATTACATAATCTATTGAGTAAAGCTTTAAGTAGGAAATGCTGAAACCTGAAAATGAAAGAAAACCACAATTACCTGTCTGACCAGTTCTACAATGTATATATACTACTGCTGAATTTTAAAAAATCCAGTTCTCCTTTACATACTGTCAGCTGATTTTTACATTCACTGCCTTCTATACGTTTAAGGGGCAACAGTGTAATCAACCAGGTGAAACGGATACACATGGCTCTTATATTGTCATCCCATTATAAATTAAATATGATTGTCACAAAGGGCTTTGCGCTATAATCTGTGCTATTAGTCTCCCTTGGTAATGTGCATTCCTAGCAAAATATTTACAGTGGATGGAGACAACATAGTGTGGAGCTGGAGGAACACAGCAGGTCAGGGAGCATCAGAGGAGTAGGAAAGTCGCTGTTTCGGGTCGGGACCCTTCTTCAGAACTGGGAGACTCTACAGTGGACTGGCTTGGCACCATATACAAATGTCAATAAGCACATCTAGTTTAGTGTATAAATTAGACTTGAGAAAGCTAATTTTCAGGTTGGGTGCAGGAATAAGCAAGTATTGATCATCTGTTAACTTTGAAATTGTCTTAAACGTTAATATCGCTCAAGAAAATAAGTGCTCCTGGGACTGAACTTTGGGGGAACACTACTGTAGATATTTCTTATGTCTGAGAAACAAATTTCAAAAACCTCTATCAAATTAGTTAAACACAATTTTCTTTTCAAAATCTATCCTGACTTTCCTAAATTAATTCACCTTTGATCAAATGATTGGTAATATTGTCCAAGATAATAAATTCTAAAAGCTTTCCCATCACTGATGTTAAACTGACTGGGTTTATCCTTGCATGCTGCTGTAAACATCTGCAATTTACCAATCCTCTGGCACTACCTCCATTCCTTCAGAGAATTAGAAGCTTATGCCAGTGCTTCTACATTTTCTACCCTTACTTCGCTTGCCATCCTGAGATGCAGCCCTTCTAGTCCTGGTAACTTATTAATATCGGACCACAGCCAATCTCTTTAATTCCTTCTCGAAAATTTTTTCGATCATCCAGTATTTCAACTGCCTCCTCCTCCCCTACATCTAGCGCAGCATCATCATCTATGAAGTACCTCAGCAATGCCTTTTACCTCTATTGGCACATATCCTTTTCAGTCACTAATCAGCACCACCCCTCCTTTTCCCTAATGCTCATCTGGCATTGAAGACTTTTGGATTCTCCTGTGTTAGTTGCTGGTCTCTTCTCAAACTCATTTTCTTCTTTACTATCAGTTTGAACTTTCTATAGTCAGCCTGGTTTTCACTGGTATTATCAATTGGACATTTACTATGCTTGCTTTCACTTAGGAGTTGGCTAGACAGTTGTTGGTGATGCAGAGTGATGTCCACAGTGTGGGTTCAATTCCTGCAACTGGCTGAAGTTACCATGAAGGACTCTCCTTTTAAAGATCTGCCCTGCCTGAGGCATGGTGACCCTCAGGTTAAACCGTTACCAGTCATCCATCTCTAATGAGAGAGTAGTCCAATAGTCCAGTAGATCTATGGTAACTTTACCTCGATTCCTGCTTGTTGAACCACATTATACTCTACTGACAAACTGTGGAATGAACGTACATGACAAACAAAATCTAATGTAAAAAAAGTCCAAAGCAATGCATTTAGGTCAGAAGAACGAGAAGAGGTAATTTAAAATTCAAGGTACAGTGAGAATGCAAGAACAGGGAGACATAGGAGTACATTAACTAAAATCAGTGAAGGTGAGAGGGTAGATTAAGACGACAGTTTAAAAGGCACACTGGATGTGGGCTTTATATAAAGAGCTTGGTGGGACAAGGGGAAGAAAATATTTGAAGCATTACACAGAAAAGGTGAGAGAGTAGAATGAGCTGGACTGCTCGCATAGCAAATAACACGTACACAAGAGGCCAAATAGCCTCCTGTGATATGACCACTTTATGACTGGATAGTACAATCTGCACCGGATTATGTTGCTGGAAATAAGAACATAAAAATAGGAACAGGAGTCAGCAAGTCAGTCCCTCGAGCCTGCTCCACTATCTGATACAGTTATTTGAAACACAACTAAAGAACAAAATAAAGTTACAAAGATTTTCAAAAATAAAAACAACATAAATCCCAGGTGATTCCAACTCAAGTCTCAGATAGAGTCCTAGAGATGTACAGCATGGAAACAGACCTGTCAGTTCAACTTATCCATGCCGACCAGATATCCTAAATCAATCCGGTCCCATTTACCAGCATTTTGTCCATATCCCTCTAAACCCTTCCAATTCATGTACGCATCCAGATGCCTTTTAAATGTTGTAATTGTACCCACCTCCACCACTTCCTCTGGCAGCTCATTCCATACATGCACCACCCTCTGTGGAAAAAGTTGCCCCTCAGGTCTCTCTCAAATCTTTCCTCTCTCATTTTAAACCTATGCTCTCTAGTTTTCCTTAGCCTGGGAAAAAGACCTTGGCTATTCACCCTATCCATGCCCCTCATGATTGTATAAACCTCTAAGGTCACCCCTCAGCCTCTGGCACTCCAGGAAAAATAGCCCCAGGCTATTTAGCCTTCCCTATAGCTCAATCCCTCCAACCCCAGCAATAGCCTTGTAGATCTTTTCGGAACCCTTTCAAGTTTCAAAATATCTTGACCATGGCAGGGAGACAAGAATTGAACTCAACTTTCCAAAAGTGGCTTCACCAATATCCTGTACAGCTGCAACATGACCTCCCAACTCCTATACTCAATGCACTGACCAATAAAGGCACGGATACCAAACACCTTCCTCACTACTCTGTCTACTTGCGACTCCACTTTCAAGGAGCTATGAACTTGCACCCCAAGGTCTTTGTTTGGCAACACTCCCCAGGACCCCACCATTAAGTGCATAAGTCCTGCGCTGATTTGCCTTACCAAAATGCAATACCTCACATTTATCTAAATTAACCTTTCACTGAACAAAGGATAGTGATGCGCTAACATACAACAAAAAAAAATTGTCCAGTTCATTATCATTGAGTTTAAGTGTTTAATGTCATTGACTTAAAAATGTTCTTTTTGTTTTAAGTAAATCCTTGTAATGGAGCACATTAAAGCATTTAATGCGTTGGGAGAAAAAGGACTTCAATTCTGCAGTCCAACTGCAAAGGGAGAGCACTAACGTTATTTCACCATGCTAAAAATTGAATCTAGATATGAAAAATATTCAGCTTATTAAGTGCAATCAGGATTGACAAGTGTAGGATTTGCAACATTATTTAATTTGATGTCGAAGCAAAGGCAGCACAATAAACTGAAAAGTTGAATTATCTTAATATTCATAAACAGAATGTGGTGTGCTAACATGTACAATGCTAGGATGTTTCTGCAGATTCAAATTTTGTATGCTGTAACTACAGCTTCAAGATTGGCAGTTTAACTATCTAAATGGCAGTGCAGGTTATATAATTGAGCTTCTATTAACATGACAAGGCACTTGAGTAATAAAAAAGAAGTTTACATTACAAGTATTTGTCAACAAATGCAAGACCAATTGGATTGGCCATCATTACAACAAAATATAAACTCTTCAACTACTTTCATTATTTTCCTACATTTAAAGCTATAGCTCACAAAGACAATGTCCTAATCCAGAATGCCAAATCCCAATCAACAAAATTAATAACATAAATAAATTTGGCCAGCAGAGGGATGAGCCGAGGTCAGGTTATTGTGAATAACAGTTGCAGTTATCTTCTTGAAACACAATGTAACTCACCAGCCGTCTCGATATTGGTTTGCCGGTAGAAAATGGTTTTTGAAATAAAACCAAGAATATCGCAGATCTGACAACAGAGAAAACAGAATAAGTGCTTTAGAATGGTCTAGTTTTCCAACCTGGATAAATGATTAGTTAAGTAAAACAGGTGGTGGATGTAGTCATCTCCATTCCTCACTATCAGCTGAATGGGTTTATAGAATCATGAGAAATGAATTTTTGTTATATTGAGCTTTTCCTCACAAATTAATTCTTTTATATTTATTATCTCATCCACACCATTTTTATTGAATCTGGGTACTACTTCAGCTCTAGAGTATAGGAGCTCTCCAAATGGGTACCCTCCTTCCTGGAGCAAATCTGACACATTTGTTCCTTTTGCAACAGAAGGTGCAAATGTAGAGCACTTAACACTAACCTCAAGAGTACAAACAATTTGATTATACAGTAACATAGTACTTGGAAACAACATTAGGCCATTCAGACCATCCAGCCTGCTCTACCATTCAATAAGCTCATGGCTGATCTGGATACATGCTCAATTCCATTGTCTTCCTAAAATCCATCTAATTTTCCAATATGGTGCCAGAGGTCGGCCACTCTTAGCAAGCTCTCCCAAGCACATCATCCCTTACATCTTTTATAATCATTTTACTCTTTTAAAGCTAAATTCTAAGTCTGTCAAAATTACTAACAATGTTCTTTTAAATTTACTTGCAGGTCTGGTGATTTTTCGATCTCTGGAAACAACCAACGGCCTGACTGGATTTGACCAGACGAAGACCAGGACCACAGGGAGCACCCAACTGCGTGAACCAATGGGGTCTGACTGCCGATGCTGGAACAGTGACTGCGATCACAAAGTGGCCAGTCAATTACTGGCTTCACAAAGGCCTGACTTGGATGTCACCGAGGCCCTACCCCGACATGGAGGGTTGACCAGACCGAGAACAAGAACCCCCGGAGTGCCCGAGGCCATGACCAGTGCCCAGGACCCCATCGAACAGCAGACCATCATTCCAACTCCCAGGCCCAAACAAAAACAGCCACTTACCCAGGAAACGTGGGAGACACACTGACCTGCAGGTGAGATGGAAACAACACAGTTTCAAGTTCTCCCTCCCCAGGCATAGTCCTGGCAAACATCCAAACCATTAAAAACAAACTGGATGAACTTAAAGACAGACTCACTTACCAAACAGAATTGAGAGACTACTGTGTGCGCTGGTTTAGAGAGACATGGCCCATTCCTGTTTCACTTGACTGTGCCTTACAATCGGAGGGTTTCTTAATCTACCGGATGGACCGTGTGGTGTCCTTGGGCAGGGCAAAGGCCTCTTGATCAACAACTCTTGGTGGTCGGACAGGACTATGGCAAGTTACTGCTCCCTGGACCTAGAATATCTAACAGTGAAATGTTGTCCCTACTACTTACTGCATGAGTTTACTTCTGCTATCCTAACTGTAGTTAACATCCTACCCCATGCGGAAGTGAACAGCGCACTTGATGAAATATGCACTGCCACATTCAGCCTTGAGACGGAATATCAAGGCCTTGCTCATTATAGCTGGTGAATTCAACCAGGCCAATCTCAAAGAGTGTGCTACCAAGATGCCAACAACATGTCTCCTGTCCTACTAGAGGCCAAAACACCCTTGACCATTGCTATACAACCATCAAGGATGCCTACCGCTACATCCCCTGCCTCCATTTTGGTAAATCAGACCACAAGGCTGTGCTCCTTCTCCTGGCTTACAAGCGGAAACTGAAGCCTGAAGACCCATTATGGAAAGTCATACAATGTTGGTCTGAGGTAATGGATGAGCTTGGACTGCTTGGAGTTGGTGGACTGGTCCACGTTCAAGAACTGTGGCCAACCTAAATGAACATGCCACTACTGTGCAGAGGACTTCATGCCAAAGAAGTTAATCCGAGTGTTCCTGAATCAGAAACCATGGATGAGCCGGAAGATCCATTCCCTCCTGAAGTCTGGGTCTAAGGCCTTCAAGTTGGGTGACCTTGACCTATGGAGGAAACCTAGGTACAATCTTCGCAAAGCTATCATGGACGCCAAGAGACAATACCAGATTAAACTAGAGTCCCAGACTAACAATACGAACACATGTTGACTGTGGTGAAGCTTACACAATATAGTGGGCTACAATGTGAAGCTGAGTAGAATTGCTGACAACAATGCATCCCTCCCCAATGAACTCAATGCATTCTATGATTCTAAACTCTAAACATTTTAAACTCTAAGACCTAGGACTCTGCTCCCCTCTCTGCAACTAGAACCATGACTTCCTGACCTGCATAGTGCAATCGATAAGGATAGGCGCCAACACCTCCTCCACAATAATCATCAACACCAGTGCCCTGCAAGGCTGCATACTCAGCCTTTTACTATACTCCTTACACACTCACAACTGTGTGGCCAAATTCAGCTCTAACTCCACTTACAAATTTGCTGAAAACACCACCGTGGTGAGGCGGATCTCAAACAACAACGAGACAGAGTGCAGAAAGGAGACAGACAGGTTACTGGCATGGTGTGAAGACAACAATCTCTGCTGGCAACAATGTCAGCAAAAATGAAGGAGCTGGTCATCAACTTTAGCAAACAGAGTAGAGGACACACCCCTGTCTGTATCGATGGTGCTGAGATGGAGATGGTCGAGTACTTCAAGTTCCTGGAAGTAAATATTACCAAATATCTATCCTGGTCCATTCACATCAATGCCCCTCAGACGCTAAGGAAATTTGGCATGTCTACAAAGGCTCTTACCAGTTTTTATAGAAAGCATCCTAAACGGATGCATCACATCTTGGTATGGCAGCAGAGAGTTGTGGATCCAGCTCAGCCCATCATGAAAACCAGCCTTCCTTCCACTGACTCAGTCTACACTTCCTGTCATCTTGGGAAAGCAGCCAACATAATCAAAGACCCCACCCCCACACCCTGATTATACTCTCTTCCATGTTCTTCCATCGAGCAGAAGATACAAAAGTTTGAAAAAACATACCAACAAATTTAAGAACATCTTCCCTGCTGTTATCAGACTTATGAACAGACCCCTCATATTAGTTGGTCTTTCTCTGCACCTTCCCTGTGGCTACAAGGCTATATTCTGCATCCTGGTCTATTACCCTGATGTACTTATGTAAGGTATGATTTGTCTGGTTAGCACGCAATAAAATGTATTTCACTGTATGCAGTATATGTGACAATAATAAATCAAAGCAAAAATAGTTCTGCCTTGAGTAAGTAACTTCCACTACTTTGAGGGAAGAGAGTTCCACAGACCAGCAACCTTGAGGAAATAACAAAACACAACTTTTGTCATAAAGGGAGACTTTGTATTCTTAAACTGTGTCCCCAGCTCTGCTCTCCTCCCTCCTACTCCAAAAAGGAAACATCCTTCCAGTATCACCCTATCAAGTTTCTTCTGAATCTTGTGTTTCTGCAAAATAATCTCTCATTCTTATAAATTCAAATGAATACAGGCCCAACTTGATCAACATTTCCTGACAGGGTAACTCCCTTATCTCAGGAATTAATCAAGTGAACCATCTTGGGACTGCTTCTAAAGCAATTATACCATTTTTCATATTTTGGACAGCAAAACTGTACACAATAAAACAGATATGGTCTCACAGAGTAAGATTTCCCTCCTCTTATGCTCCATTCCCCTTGCTATATATACTAATATTCCATGTGCCTTATCATTGCCATACCTGCATGCTAACTTTGTGATTCATGTACCAGCACACTAGATCCCTTTGTACCTCATTGTTCTACAATCTTTCTTCATTTAAGCAGCATTCCACTTTTCTATTTTTACTATCAAAGGATAATTAACTAATTCCTTTATCTCATCTACAGCATTGTTTATTGAACCTGGGTGCTGCTTCAGATCTAGAGAATAAGTGCTCTCCAAATAGATACCCCCTTCCTAAAGCAGATTTGATAAACTTGTTAATTAATTACCAAAGTGGTAATGATAATTTTGAAACATTGCATTATTTATTATCCCACTAGTTCCACATTCTTGTACAGGTAGCCCAGATGCAAAGAGATCACAAGGACGTGAGTAAATTTGAGATAATTACACTGCCTATCCCTTGCTTTTCATTGCAATTAAGAAAGAAAAATCTTAGAGCTTTTTAATTACTATAACATAGCCCTTATGAATTTCTATAATGTTATCAAAATAGTAATACATTTTAAAGTAACTGTAAAATTACAGAATCACATATGTTCATCCAATTGCCAGATCTTTCTTAAATCATTGCTTTGAATGATTTTAATGTTAAAAACTTACCCCAGCTGGATTATGAAGACAAACTGGACAATATGGACAACTTTAAGGAGGTCATATGATTCAAAAATCCCAATAACTTTAAGGAACTTAGCCAGGCACAGCAGTGTGATGTATCGTGTAAACCTGCAGCAAAAATACCAAAGATAGATCAGTACTTTTGTTTTATATACCAGTAAATTAAATAAGATAAATGACAAACCATAGTAACCGTCCTAATTTTTAAACTATGGATACAAATTCAGCAGCATAGGTGCGGATTAAGAAACATTTTATTATTTATACATTGAAAATTATACTTAATCCTTTCAAAATTTCCCATGCACAGCATTCTTAGCCTCTAAGAATGATACAGAAAGTGGCTCTTCAGCCCATCAGTCTTTTCTTTGAAAGGAGCTATCTAATAAGCTGCACTCCGTTGCCACTTACAGTCATGCAAAATTTACAAGTATTCCCAATTCCCTCTCAAAAATTGTCATTCAATTCCCTCTTAGACAATGCATTCCAGGTCATAATCTGAGGAAGGGTCACCGGACCCGAAACGTTAACTCTGTTTTCTCCTTCACAGATGCTGCCAGACCTGCTGAGTTTTTCCAGCAACTTTGTTTTTGTTCCAGGTCATAATCACTTGCTGCATAAAAGAAATTCTTATCTACCCTTGGGTTTATGCCATTATTTCTCTGTTAGATGTTAAGATATATGCAGCCTTTTCTCCCCTGGTCCAGTCCCTGCCAAATTCTGAGTCAAGGTAGGAAGAGATGAGTACAATGACCTCACCATGGCACATCAGGTAACTGATCTCATTTCATCCAGTTATCTCTCACCCCCCACTGCCTCCAAGCTGATAGCCCCCCAGCCCCGCACAGCTTGCTTCTACCTCCTTTCAAAAATCCACAAACAGGACTGCCTGGGCAGACCTATTGTGTCAGCCTGTTCCTGCCCCACAGAACTCATCTATTCCGACCTTGACTCAGTCTTTTCTCCCCAGTCCAGTCCCTGCCAACATACATTTGTGATTCCTCTGACGCTTTACGCCAGTTTCAGAACTGGCTGCAGCCACCTCCTCTTTACCATAGATGTGCAATCCCTTTACACGTCTATCCCCCACCAGGATGGTCTCAGGGTTCTCCGCTTCTTCCTGGAGCAAAGGCCTGAACTGTTCCTACCCACCGCCACCCTCCTCTGCTTAGCCAAGCTCATCCTTACCCTCAACAACTTTTCTTTTATGTCCTCTCATTTTCTTCAGGTCAGAGGGTTGGCCATGGGCACCTGCATGGGCCCCAGTTAAGCCTGTCTCTTCGTGGGGTACGTGGAACATTCCTTGTTCCAGTCCTATTCTGGCCCCCACCCGGAATTCTTTCTCTGATATATCGACGATATCATCGCTGCTGCTTCCCTCTCTTGTCTGGAATTGGAAACATTCATCGATTCTGCTTCCAATTTCCACCTTGCCCTCACTTTCACCTGGTCTATCTCTGACTCCTCCCTTCCCTTCCTTGTTATCTGTTTCAATTTCTGGGAATAGACTGGCCATTAATATCCACTATAAACCTACTGACTTCCACAGCTACCTGATCTATACATCCTCGCACTCTTCTTCCTGTAAAGACTCCATTCCATTCTCTCAGTTCCTCCAACTCTGTCACATATGTTCAGATGAGGCCAACTTTGACACTGGAGCCTCCGAAATGTCCACCTTCTTCCTCAACCTTGGATTCCTCAGCATCGTTGTCGAAAGAGTCCTCTGACCCATCTCCCACACTTCTGCACTTAACCCCTCTTCCCTCCCAGAAGAGCAATAGGGCTCCCCTTGTCCTTATCTACCATGCCACCAGCATCCACATCCAGAAGATCATCAACACCATTTCCACCACCTCCAGCTAGATGCCACCACCAGACATATACACCCCACCACCCCCCCTCTCCCCCCCCCCCCCCCACCGACCCCCCCTCCCTTGTCTGCACAGACCGTTCCCTCTGGGACACCGTGGTCCACTCTTCCTTCACTTCCAACACCTGCCCACAGCACCTTCCCCTGCAACTGCTGAAGGTGTAATACCTACCCACTTACCTCCTCCCACCCTAGTTTCCAAGGGCCCAAACATATCATCCAGGTGAAGCAGCCCGTTACCTGCAATTCCCACAATCTAGTCTACTGTATTCGCTGCTCAGAATGTGGTCTCCTCTACACCGGGGAAATGAAGTGTAGACTGGGTGACCGCTTTGCAGAACATCTACATTCTGCCCACAAAAGAGATCCTGAGCTTCCAGTTGCCTATCACTTTAACACGACACCCTATTCCCTAACTAATCTCTCTGTCTCAGGCTTGCTGCAGTGTTCCAGTGAAGCACAGTGCAAGCTGGAAGAACATCATGTCATTTTCCACTTGGGGACCCTGAAGCCCTCTGGACTCAAAATCAAGTTCAATAATCTTAGGACCTAAAATCTGCCGTGTCCTAGCCCCCTAGCCCACACACCAGGCCTTGTTATCACATAGCCTGCCATTACACCCTACCAATTGTTAGTTACTAACAGTCCCCATTAACAACAATTCACCCTCCCAGCCACATCATTATCAACTCCTTTGTCTGTCCAACTGTTCCTCTCTCACATTGGGCTCTATTCCCATCTAGCATTTACTCCTTACCCCCCTCCCCCACCACTATCTTCTGCATATAAACTGACATTTTCCTAGCGACCATCAGTTCTGAGGAAGGGTCACTGGACATGAAACATTAACTTGATTTTTCTTCAAAGATGCTGTCAGACTCATTCTTTTAAGGTGGCTTTAATAATTGTGCATTAAATTTAAAGCAGTACAGTCATAATTATTTAATATTTTATAATACAGTATTGATTCCTACATAATTTAAAACTGATTCTTAATAAATATAAATAAATATTCATAAATTTAAAAACATTGTTGTCTCCTACTTAACTCCTCATAGCCCACATCTACTTAGCAATACCTAGAATTATTACATTAGGAAATATTTAATTGTAGGACCAAATCTTAGCTAGTAAAGCTGACTCAGATCCTACTAATGATCTGAAACTTTTCTTAGGTGTGTTTTTCAGCTAATAAGTTTGACTAGGTATTAACCTTGCTGGGGTGGTTAGTTAAAGACAGAAGGACTCTTGGCAATAGAACTGTTTAAATTAGATGAAAATTTATTTTACTTTAGAAGTTCAGCAACAGAAATAGAACATGCAGAATTATGGATCATGCCAACATGTTGTTTTAAAAGTATACAGAGTATGAACCCTACTATCCCAATACCAAGAGTCATGAAGTAGATGAGAAAACTTTAAATCTGCAAGTCAATTTTCCACACCTGTTTAAATTTGAGAATTGCATCTTTAGTCATGCCCAGTACAGTTCAGTTTCTGGTCAATGATAAGCCCTGGGATTTTGACGGGGGACGCGATCATGTGTATACCAAAGTGATGTGGTTGAATGCAATAAGACATTCCAGCTCCAACAGCTTTTTAGGGAGTTCCAGTCGCCACTACCCTTTGGGTGAATAAATTACTCAATTTCCCTCTCACTCTGCAATCTATTACCTCCGGTAATTGACCACTTTGTTAAGAAAACTTATTCCGTCCTATTTAGTCCGTTGGCGCTCCTGATATTTTGACTGATCAGCTTACTGACAGTACCGGGACACATTTACCTGGAGCTGGGCGCATCCACAGGGCCCAGCCTGGTGCTGGAGATGATGTTGTTGGTGTATTTCTCCTCCATCCTTCACCCACCGCACGATCTCACCGCCTCTTCCTCCTCACATGATTCCCCAGGGAACTGCTTCTCGCCGCCACAGTCACAGGCCCGAAACCGGCGGCTCGAATGTCGAAACTAGTCGAGACGCCAGCCACGTTTAGTAAAAGGGACCGAGAGACCGCGCTCCAGCTTCCCGGAAGCCGGTGGGTGTGTACGGGGAGGATCAGCGAATTCCGCACCGGCACTGACCCTCAATCAACCGCCACACGAAAAATCAGCCTAGTAACCAGGGACAGCACCTCCCCACATTCCACCCCCTGCCGACCGCCACCGCCCGGTCCTCCCCGCATACCGCCCCCT